AGGGCGGCAAGCGGTTAAAGACATGCAGGATATTTGAAATGTATTTTTAAAAATAGTTTTCTTATATTTTGTAATAAGAAATATATAATATATATTTATATATATATATATATATATATATATATCTCTATGTTTTCTGCAGTTTTAGGAGATGTACCTACCCTACATGTTTCGTCCAACCTGGGCTTCCTCAGGGGAAGAAATGACTTATCCGCAGTACAGTCTACAATTGTATACACAGAAATCTAGAATCGGATAATTCTAACAAGTATTGATACACAAAACATTTTGTAACTGTCCAGGAGAATATGTATTACCACCAAAATCATGCTGCCGAAGGCATTCAAAACTACAGCGATGGATCTACAGCAACGTTGTGGCCCAAACGTTCGTGTGACTCCAGAGGGTACAAAGAGGGTCACATATCCACCTAAAGCACGAGAGAAGAGCTGCTCGGGACAATCCAGACTATGAGAACAAATACATCCGAGGTCTAAAAACTGCAACATTGTCAGACTGAAGTAAAAGAAACAAAAATGCAACATAGAAAAGTGATAAGATATCGCACAACCGCGTCACCCACAGAAAAGGGACAAACATTCGCGTGGCAGCGAGAGGCGTCCGGCCGGAGAGTCCCATGACCTCCCCCACCCCAACACGAGCAACAGAAGGTGAAACAAAGCCCGGCCGTGATCCAGGGATAAAAAGGGAACGTAGTCATGAGACACCCCAGCCGGGCCCCACCCACCAAAGACGAGCAAAATCTAATAAAGCATCCAACGTAATAACAATACATGAACAATAACAGCCAGTGTACGACCCTCAGCGAGGGCCGTATTTTATGACACCGTCAGCGAGGGCCGTATTGTATGACGCCGTCAGCGAGGGCCGTATTGTATGACGCCGTCAGCGAGGGCCGTATTGTATGACACCGTCAGCGAGGGCTGTATTGTATGACGCCGTCAGCGAGGGCTGTATTGTATGACGCCGTCAGCGAGGGCCGTATTGTGTGACGCCGTCAGCGAGGGCTGTATTGTATGACGCCGTCAGCGAGGGCCGTATTGTGTGACACCGTCAGCGAGGGCCGTATTGTGTGACACCGTCAGCGAGGGCTGTATTTTATGACACCGTCAGCGAGGGCCGTATTGTGTGACGCCGTCAGCGAGGGCTGTATTGTATGACGCCGTCAGCGAGGGCCGTATTGTGTGACACCGTCAGCGAGGGCCGTATTGTGTGACACCGTCAGCGAGGGCTGTATTTTATGACACCGTCAGCGAGGGCCGTATTGTATGACGCCGTCAGCGAGGGCCGTATTGTGTGACGCCGTCAGCGAGGGCCGTATTGTATGACGCCGTCAGCGAGGGCCGTATTGTATGACGCCGTCAGCGAGGGCCGTATTGTGTGACGCCGTCAGCGAGGGCCGTATTGTATGACGCCGTCAGCGAGGGCCGTATTGTGTGACGCCGTCAGCGAGGGCCGTATTGTATGACGCCGTCAGCGAGGGCCGTATTGTGTGACGCCGTCAGCGAGGGCCGTATTGTATGACGCCGTCAGCGAGGGCCGTATTGTATGACGCCGTCAGCGAGGGCCGTATTGTATGACGCCGTCAGCGAGGGCCGTATTGTATGACGCCGTCAGCGAGGGCCGTATTGTATGACGCCGTCAGCGAGGGCCGTATTGTGTGACGCCGTCAGCGAGGGCCGTATTGTATGACGCCGTCAGCGAGGGCCGTATTGTATGACGCCGTCAGCGAGGGCCGTATTGTATGACGCCGTCAGCGAGGGCCGTATTGTATGACACCGTCAGCGAGGGCCGTATTGTGTGACGCCGTCAGTGAGGGCTGTATTGTATGACACCGTCAGCGAGGGCTGTATTGTATGACGCCGTCAGCGAGGGCTGTATTGTACGACCCTCAGTGAGGGCTGTATTGTATGACACCGTCAGTGAGGACTGTATTGTATGACGCCGTCAGCGAGGGCTGTATTGTATGACGCCGTCAGCGAGGGCCGTATTGTATGACGCCGTCAGCGAGGGCTGTATTGTATGACGCCGTCAGCGAGGGCCGTATTGTGTGATGCCGTCAGCGAGGGCCGTATTGTATGACGCCGTCAGCGAGGGCTGTATTGTATGACGCCGTCAGCGAGGGCTGTATTGTACGACCCTCAGTGAGGGCTGTATTGTATGACACCGTCAGCGAGGGCTGTATTGTATGACGCCGTCAGCGAGGGCCGTATTGTATGACGCCGTCAGCGAGGGCCGTATTGTATGACACCGTCAGCGAGGGCTGTATTGTATGACACCGTCAGTAAGGGCTGTATTGTATGACACCGTCAGTAAGGGCTGTATTGTATGACACCGTCAGTAAGGGCTGTATTGTATGACACCGTCAGTAAGGGCTGTAGTATATGAGACCGTCCTGCCAGATGTAGTCATGCAAGGCACTGCAGGATAGACTGGAGGGGAAATAGGGGCCGGGAAAGGAGTGGAGGGGTGAGGGGGGGTGTATAGAGGGGTGTGAAGGAGTGTAGAGAGATGCAGAGTAGAGGGGTGTAGAGAGGTGTGCAGGGGTGTGGAGGGGTATGGGAGGGGGGGTTGGAAAGGAGTGGAGGTGTGTAGAGGGGTGCAGAGGGTTGTAGAGGGGCGTGGAGGTGTGTGGAAAGCAGTAGAGGGGCGTGGAGGGGCGTGGGGAGGTATAGAGGGGGGGTTGGAAAGGGGTGGAGGTGTGTAGAGGGGTTTAGAAGGGTGTGGAAAGCAGTAGAGGGGGTGTGGGGTGGTGTGGAGGGGTATGGGGGGGGGGTTGGAAAGGAGTGGAGGTGTGTGGAAAGCAGTAGAGGGGTCCAGGGGCGGACTGACCATTTGGAAACTCGGGCACTGCCTGAGGGCCCGGGGTCAGTAGGGGGCCCCATAAGATGCCCCTGGTACCTTTTTCATAGGCTTTTTTGAGTTTGGGCAAGGACACAGGGGCCCCATGATCCCCTATTGCCCGGGGGGCCCCATGAGTTGTCAGTCCGCCCCTGGAGGGGTGTGAAGTGGGGTTGTGGGGGGGGGGGGGGGGTTGTGGGGTGGAAATGTTGCTGGGAATTCAGATTTTACCCAGAGATGGGCTTTAAGGTTGATTGAAATACGGTGGACCACCAGCTAAGTCCCGGCACACAGTGAAGCCCCCAGATGACAGCCAACAATCGAGCATTTTCAGCCATGGCAGCCTCTGTGTTGCTCTCTCCGGCTCACACCTGCACTGCTCTCTGGAAACCATTCCTCGGTGGACTGCAAAGCACTCCAAAGGGGGGGAGATTTACTAAAACTGGAGGGTGCAAAATCTGGTGCAGCTCTGCATGGCAGCCAATCAGCTTCTAACCTCATCTTGTTAAAAAAAAAAAAAAAAAAAAACCTGGAAGCTGATTGGCTCCCATGCAGAGCTGCACCAGATTTTGCACCCTCCAGTTTTAGTAAATCTCCCCCCCCCCCCCCCCCCTTGCCTTCATTCCTTTCAAAAAACAGGAAAATCATCCTCTGTAAAATCTCCCCCAATGACTTTGCTAAGCCTGGAGGGGGTCACGGGTGGCTAAGTGGTTAGCACTTCACTGTAACAGCCCCAGGGTCATCAGTTTGAATCCCAACCATGGCACTACTTGCACGGTCTCCCTGTGCCTGTGTGAGTTTCCTCCAGGTTTCCTCCCACACACCAAAGACATGCTGGTAGGTTAAATGGCTCCTGTCTAAACTGGCCCTAGTATGTGAGTGAGTGGCTTTAGATTGTAAGCTCCTTGGCGGCAGGGACTGATGTACATCATATACGTACATTGCCTGCATTATATAAGTACCAGGAATAATAAACAGCAGACATGGGGAAGACTGTGCTAACTAGCACTAAACAGGATGGGAGGGTAGAAGGAAAAAACTGAATCAAATTAGTAAACAAGTTGTAGTGTTCCCAAACTGCCACTAGATGTCAGCATGCTACAGAAAAAAAATTATACCCTCATGCAGCTCAATACAAGACATAAAAAAATGCAGGAAAGTGGGACAGAACAAGTCAACGCCCCTCCCCCCCACTGAAACTGGGGGGGGGAGGGAGTCATCTGATTCTTTCGGCCGTATTCCATCCAACTCTGGTTCTGTTGTCACATGGGAGATGTTCAGATGTCACGTCCGAGTCTACAGTTACATCAGTCACGTTACAGATGTGCGCGACGCGCGGAGAACCAAACCAGAGAATCCGGCGAGATAAAAACTTCTAACAGGAAAAAACGGTGGTACCCACACTGCCCCCACATGGCCGCTCTGTGATGTGCGCCCCCCCCCCTTGCTTCCAGCTCTGAAAACCGGGCCGATTCGGACCCTTTTGGTTTACGCAGGTTGCGTTTTTTTTTTCTTGTTGCTAGGCAGATTTTAAAAGCAAAACGCATCAAAAAAGCTTCACAAGCACAATCCACGCTTTTCTTCAGCATTCCCATTGAAGTCTATAGAACCCAAAAAAAACACAAGGTTTTGCGTTCAAAAAAGTCGTCCCCCCCCCCCCCCCCCCCCGGTCACATCAAACCTGACGTGCGACTTCACTGTAACTCGCACGATTTCAAAGTCGGGTGACTTGCGGATTTCATGTGCGATTTGCAAGACATCGGACGCAGATATCTATGTAAATCGCACCAAAAGTAGCGCATGGACTACTGTAGAGATCAGTGTGGATCCAACCTAGTCAGAACCGCGCCGAAATGACCGCTGTGATTGTGGACATTAGGGTGCGACTTGGAATGAGATTTGCAAATCGCATGCCAATTCTCATCCAGTTCCCATCAGCACTTGCAGTTCCGGTGCGTTCCTAGAAAAGGCGGCATTTTTCCTGCACAGAACTGTACTGGAACGCAGCAAAATGCATCAAAAACGTACTGGAACACAACAAAAAAGCGTCAAAAACATGCGTGCAAAAATGCATCTGGACTGCGTTTCTATAGTGTGAACCGCCCCTGAAACATTACATATACACTATATTGCCAGACATATTGGACCCGTCCTCCCAATCATGTGATTCAGGTGTTCCAATCCCCTCCATGTCATGTGATTCAGGTGCTCCAATCCCCTCCATATCATGTGATTCAGGTGTTCCAATCCCCTCCCAATCATGTGATTCAGGTGTTCCAATCCCCTCCATGTCATGTGATTCAGGTGCTCCAATCCCCTCCATATCATGTGATTCAGGTGTTCCAATCCCCTCCCAATCATGTGATTCAGGTGTTCCAATCCCCTCCATGTCATGTGATTCAGGTGCTCCAATCCCCTCCATATCATGTGATTCAGATGTTCCAATCCCCTCCCAATCATGTGATTCAGGTGCTCCAATCCCCTCCCAATCATGTGATTCAGGTGCTACAATCCCCTCCATATCATGTGATTCAGGTGTTCCAATCCCCTCCCAATCATGTGATTCAGGTGATCCAATCCCCTCCCAATCATATGATTCAGGTGTTCCCATCCCCTCCATATCATGTGATTCAGGTGTTCCAATCCCCTCCCAATCATGTGATTCAGGTGTTCCAATCCCCTCCATGTCATGTGATTCAGGTGCTCCAATCCCCTCCCAATCATGTGATTCAGGTGCTCCAATCCCCTCCCAATCATGTGATTCAGGTGCTACAATCCCCTCCCAATCATGTGATTCAGGTGCTCCAATCCCCTCCATATCATATGATTCAGGTGTTCCCATCCCCTCCATATCATGTGATTCAGGTGTTCCAATCCCCTCCATGTCATGTGATTCAGGTGCTCCAATCCCCTCCATATCATGTGATTCAGGTGTTCCAATCCCCTCCCAATCATGTGATTCAGGTGTTCCAATCCCCTCCCAATCATGTGATTCAGGTGCTACAATCCCCTCCATATCATGTGATTCAGGTGTTCCAATCCCCTCCCAATCATGTGATTCAGGTGATCCAATCCCCTCCCAATCATGTGATTCAGGTGCTCCAATCCCCTCCATATCATATGATTCAGGTGTTCCCATCCCCTCCATATCATGTGATTCAGGTGTTCCAATCCCCTTCCAATCATGTGATTCAGGTGTTCCAATCCCCTCCATGTCATGTGATTCAGGTGCTCCAATCCCCTCCCAATCATGTGATTCAGGTGCTCCAATCCCCTCCCAATCATGTGATTCAGGTGCTACAATCCCCTCCCAATCATGTGATTCAGGTGCTCCAATCCCCTCCATATCATATGATTCAGGTGTTCCCATCCCCTCCATATCATGTGATTCAGGTGTTCCAATCCCCTCCCAATCATGTGATTCAGGTGTTCCAATCCCCTCCCAATCATTTGATTCAGGTGTTCCAATCCCCCTCCATATCATGTGATTCAGGTGCTCCAATCCCCTCCATGGACACAGGTGTATACAATCAGCCCCTAGGCATGCAGACGGCTTCTACAAACATTGGTGAAAGAATGGGTCGCTCTCAGGAGCTCAGTGACTCCAAGCGTGGTCCCGTGATAGGTGGCCACCTGGGCAATAAGTCCATCCGTGACATTTCCTGGCTACTAAATATTCCACGCTCAACTGTTAGTGGGATTATAACAAAGTGGAAGCCACTGGGAACAACAGCCACTCAGTCACCAAGTGGTAGGCCACGTCACATGACAGGGCGGGGTCAGTGCATGCTGAAGCGCACAGTGCGCAGAAGTCACCAACTGTCTGCAGAGTCAATAGCTAAAGACCTCCAAACTTGGTGTGGCCTTCAGATGAGCCCAACAACAGTGCGTAGAGAGCTTCATGGAATGGGTTTCCATGGCCAAGCAGCTGCATCCAAGCCTTCCATCACCAAGTGCAATGCAAAGCGTCGGATGCCGTGGTGTAAAGCACGCCGCCACTGGACTCTAGAGCAGAGGAGACGTGTTCTCTGGAGGGACCAATCACACTTCTCTGTCTGGCAATCCGATGGACGTGTCTGGGTTTGGTGGTGGCCAGGAGAACGGTACTTGCCTGACTGCATTGTGCCAAGTGTAAAGTTTGGTGGAGGGGGGATTATGGTGTGGGGTTGTTTTTCAGGGGTTGGGCTTGGCCTCCTAGTTCCAGTGAAGGGAACTCTTAAGGCAACATTTTGGACAATTTCATGCTCTCAACTTTGTGGGAGGAGTTTGGGGATGGCCCCTTCCTGTTCCAACATGACTGCCCCCCAGTGCACAAAGCAATGTCCATAAAGACATGGAGGAGCCAGTTTGGGGTGGAGGAACTTGACTGTCCTGCACAGAGTCCTGACCTCAACCCCATAGAACACCTTTGGGATGAATTAGAGCGGAGACTGTGAGCCAGGCCCCCTCCCCCGACATCAGTGCCTGACCTGACAAATGTGCTTCTGGAAGAATGGTCCAACCTTCCCATAGACACCCTCCTAAACCTTGTGGACGGCCTTCCCAGAAGAGTTGAAGCCGTTATAGCTGCAAAGGGCCAACTCAATATTGAACCCTACGGACTAAGACTGGGGGGCCATTAAAGGTCATGTGCGTGGAAAGGGTGGGGGCCAACTCAATATTGAACCCTACGGACTAAGACTGGGAGGCCATTAAAGGTCATGTGCGTGGAAAGGGCGGGACCAACTCAATATTGAACCCTACGGACTAAGACTGGGGGGCCATTAAAGGTCATGTGCGTGGAAAGGGTGGGGCCAACTCAATATTGAACTCTACGGACTAAGACTGGGGGGCCATTAAAGGTCATGTGCGTGGAAAGGGTGGGGCCAACTCAATACTGAACCCTACGGACTAAGACTGGGGGGCCATTAAAGGTCATGTGTGTGGAAAGGGTGGGGCCAACTCAATACTGAACCCTACGGACTAAGACTGGGAGGCCATTAAAGGTCATGTGTGTGGAAAGGGTGGGGCCAACTCAATACTGAACCCTACGGACTAAGACTGGGGGGCCATTAAAGGTCATGTGTGTGGAAAGGGCGGGGCCAACTCAATATTGAACCCTACGGACTAAGACTGGGGGGGCCATTAAAGGTCATGTGTGTGGAAAGGGCGGGGCCAACTCAATATTGAACCCTACGGACTAAGACTGGGGGGGCCATTAAAGGTCATGTGTGTGGAAAGGGTGGGGCCAACTCAATATTGAACCCTACGGACTAAGACTGGGGGGCCATTAAAGGTCATATGTGTGGAAAGGGCGGGGCCAACTCAATATTGAACCCTACGGACTAAGACTGGGGGGGCCATTAAAGGTCATGTGTGTGGAAAGGGTGGGGCCAACTCAATATTGAACTCTACGGACTAAGACTGGGGGGCCATTAAAGGTCATGTGTGTGGAAAGGGCGGGGCCAACCCAATATTGAACCCTACGGACTAAGACTGGGGGGGGCCATTAAAGGTCATGTGTGTGGAAAGGGCGGGGCCAACTCAATACTGAACCCTACGGACTAAGACTGGGAGGCCATTAAAGGTCATGTGTGTGGAAAGGCAGGAGACCAATACTTGGGGCAATATGGTGTATATATAGGGGGGCGGGGACAATACTTGGGGCAATATAGTGTGTATCATGTTTGGGGGTTCTAAGTCATTTTCTAGCAAAAAAAATACAGATTTTTTTTAATGTAAAGACAAGAGAAGAGTCCGGGTCTTCCAGTGTGAGATGGAGGACCAGATGGGACCATACATGATGTAAATGTTGCCTTCCTGACCCAAAAATAACTCTTTATAGTAAGTTGTTTTTTTTTTGTTTCCAGAATTGAAATCTCTGCCATCTCTGTATTCCTCTGATTATGAAATTCTCCGGTTCTCCGGGTTTTCCGCAGGAAAGAACAACACAGCAAAGTTCTTGGTTCCCGGCCCGTCTGAGTCATTCTGGAGGAACATAAACTCAGTTTTTGGCCCAACGGCCTCGTGTTGCTTTGAAAATGAAAACAAAGTTTTATTTCTGTGCAAATACATATGGAAGCAACACGCCAGGTCATGCCGGGGGGGGTGGTTATGCCGGGGAAGGGAGGCCAACCCTCCATTGTGGTCCCTACACTAATATATGGAAGGGCCAGGGCTTCAATGAACACTCTACGGCCTCTAGATTAGGCCCACCTGTTCAATGGCTCGGTAACACAAACTGCTAATCAGCCAATCACGTGGCAGCAACTCGATGCATTTAGGCATCTAGATGTGGTGAAGACGACTTACTGAAGTTCAAGTCGAGCATCAGAATGGGGAAGAAAGGGGATTGAAGTGATTTCAGTGTTGTGGATGGCTTTATATGTCATTGTTAGAGTTCTGAATTGTATCCGTTGGGCAACTGGGAGCCAGCGGAAGGATTGGCAGAGAGGGGTGGAGGACACTGAGTGGAGGCCAGTGGAGGGAATGACAGAGGGGGGTGGAGGACACTGAGTGGAGGTCAGTGGAAGGATTGGCAGAGAGGGGTGGAGGACACTGAGTGGAGGCCAATGGATGGATTGGCAGAGAGGGGTGGAGGACACTGAGTGGAGGCCAGTGGAGGGATTGGCAGAGAGGGGTGGAGGACACTGAGTGGAGGCCAGTGGAGGGATTGGCAGAGAGGGGTGGAGGACACTGAATGGAGGTCAGTGGAGGGATTGGCAGAGAGGGGTGGAGGACACTGAGTGGAGGCCAGTGGAGGGTTTGGCAGAGAAGGGTGGAGCACACTGAGTGGAGGCCAGTGGAGGGATTGGCAGAGAGGGGTGGCAGATATGGAGCTGTTAGTAAGGCGGATGAGTCTGGCAGCAGCATGCATGATAGACTGAAGAGGGGATAGCCTGCGATGAGGTCGGCCAATGAGGAGGGAGTTACAATAGTCAAGGCGAGATATAACAAGGGAGTGAATAAGTTGCTTAGTGGTTTCCGAGGTTAGGAACGGGCGTATCTTGGAGGTGTTGCGGAGGTTGGAGATGTTGGGGAGGTGAAGTCTATAAGATTTGGACAGTGATTGGATTTGGGGCTGGAAGGACAGATGGGAGTCTAGGATTGCACCGAGTACCTGGCATGGGGGGAGGGACTATATATTTATATTTTTTTTTTTTATTATTACTTTTTAAGCTAAGACTGATCAAAGTACAAAAATATGCAAAAAAAAATCCTTGCTTGTCTTTAAAAATAAAAAAGATCCCTTTATTATTATTTATTATTTATTTATTGTATATTATTGTGTATTATTGTGTATTATTGTATATTATTTTGTATTATTTTGTATTATTTTGTATTATTTTGTATTATTTTGTAATCTTCAGTAATAAGTTATTATGGGATGGATACTGAAGGGGTTAATCATTTTACAAGCCAGTCCCAGTTCTTCCTCGGGTGGGGAGTCGCTCCGGCACGTGGTCCCGGTTCAGCGTCGAAGTTTCGTCATGGTTATGGATTGTGAAATTCAGATCTTTCCCTTAAAAAAAAACCCAAAACTGCAACGTGTGAGATTGTGTGGTTGTGTAACTCTGTGATTTCTCCTTCATACTCAGAGATGGAAGATTCCTTCCAGGAAGAGCCGGTGATTGGTATAAATGTGAGTCCCGGAATGTTACCATCAGTCCTAGAGGGGTCACTTGTCCAACATGGGGCTCTCTGCAACGCTGTGGTTCCTGATGGGGCTCACCGCTGGCAGTATGGCCGCACCCCTACTGCGATGGAGCGATGATGACGCCGCTGTCATGGCGCTGTACAGCGCTGATTACTACAACAAGGTCTCCAGAGAAGACGTCCTCTATGGGCTCCTGGAGAACGACACGGAATACATCACTGTGAGTGGACGATTTTTATTCCGCTTTTGTATCCGGGGTAATAGAGGCTGTATGGATATCATAGAAAATGGCGATGGGTTACGTTGTGATCAGACGGGGATAGAGAGATACAAAGTAACATTGTTTATAAACATCGATCAGACGGGAGATGGAGAGATACAAAGTAACATTGTTTATAAACATCGATCAGACGGGAGATGGAGAGATACAAAGTAACATTGTTTATAAACATCGATCAGACGGGAGATAGATACAAAGTAACATTGTTTATAAACATCGATCAGACGGGAGATGGAGAGATACAAAGTAACATTGTTTATAAACATCGATCAGACGGGAGATAGATACAAAGTAACATTGTTTATAAACATCGATCAGACGGGAGATAGAGAGATACAAGGTAACATTGTTTATAAACATCGATCAGACGGGAGATGGAGAGATACAAAGTAACATTGTTTATAAACATCGATCAGACGGGAGATGGAGAGATACAAAGTAACATTGTTTATAAACATCGATCAGACGGGAGATGGAGAGATACAAAGTAACATTGTTTATAAACATCGATCAGACGGGAGATAGAGAGATACAAAGTAACATTGTTTATAAACATCGATCAGACGGGAGATAGAGAGATACAAGGTAACATTGTTTATAAACATCGATCAGACGGGAGATAGAGAGATACAAAGTAACATTGTTTATAAACATCGATCAGACGGGAGATGGAGAGATACAAAGTAACATTGTTTATAAACATCGATCAGACGGGAGATGGAGAGATACAAAGTAACATTGTTTATAAACATCGATCAGACGGGGGATGGAGAGATACAAAGTAACATTGTTTATAAACATCGATCAGACGGGGGATAGAGATACAAAGTAACATTGTTTATAAACATCGATCAGACGGGGGATAGATCGCTACAACTGTCACATCTTTGAACAGATTTAAGTGGAATCAGTGACCTCACATCAAAGCAAAGCCGCCTGCAGTGCCACCAGCCGGTCAGATTTGGTATTGCAGCCCGACCATGTACTTCAGCAGCGAACAAGGCCAGCGCTGTGGGAGGCGGGGTCATTATCCCCACCACACGTTATTGGTTGGGAAGGATCCTAGACAGTTCCAGACTAAACCGGAGAACTCTTTATGTTTTTCAGGATGAGAAATCTCGCTTTCACCAACTTTCATTCTCAATACAAGAAACCGGGTGCCAGAAAAGTGACAAGACGCCGACCGACGGCTGCGCATTCAAGGAGGGCGGCGTAAGTAACTGCTTCTGATTTTAGAAGGTCGAATTTTCCGTTTGGTCGGGGGGGGGGGGGGGGGGTAGGAAGGAAAGCTGACCTCCAGGCAGATATAAAAGACACAAATGAATGTGATCATTAATGCGCCATTACAAGTATTTTTATTAAAGTTGATGAATTTGACTTGGTGTCAGTCAAGAAGCACGCTGATAGAAGGAGGGAGCAGAGTGAGAGATATCAGCCTGCTGCTTCTCCTTTCACTGCCCAGTTGGGGGAGGGACAGTGGTGTCCCTGGGCAAGTGCGGGGGGGTGTGCCCTGCACCGGGTGACACCGGACCCGCTCCACGAAAAGGTAAGTTGTAAGCAAGCCAACGATCCCTGCAGAATGGATCGGATCTGCAGATTGAGCATAATGGATTGGAGTAGAAACCAGGGGCAGACTGATAATTCATGGGGCCCCCGGGCAATAGGGGATCATGGGGCCCCTGTGTCCTTGCCCAAACTCAAAAAAGCCTATGAAAAAGGTACCAGGGGCATCTCATGGGGCCCCCTTCTAACCCCGGGCCCTCGGGCAGGGCAGTTTCCAGATGGTCAGTCCGCCCAATATGCTCCCCAATCCGCAGATCCGATCCATCCTGCGGGGATCGTCCATGTATGGGGACTCAGGGACTGCCCTGAGGGAATCCCCCCTGATCCATACCAGGCCTTTAGATCTGGTAGGAAGGCTAGGAGGGACCCCACAGTAAAAAATGAATTTTAAAAACAAAGTGCAGGGGGGTTCCCCCAAAAAGCCTTTTAGGCCTAGTAGGACTTTTACGGGGAACCCCACCCTCAAAAAATGGGGGGGGGGGGGGGGAAGCATGGGATCCTCCCTAAATTCCTACCAGACCCTTGATTGGAGTACAAGCCTGGCAGGCCAGGAAAGGGGGGGGTGATCAAGCTCCCCCCCCCCCCCCCCTTGGCTCACCAGGCCACGTGCCCCCGGCATGCCGATGGGGACAAGGGCCTCTTCCACACACCCCTGGCCCGGTGATTGTGGGAGTCTGCGGGCAGGGGGGGCTCATTTGCATCAGGGTACCCCTTTAAATAAGGGGACACCCTGATGCTGCAATCTCCCCATTGAGCCCCACCCACGTACATGCACATACACCGATGTAGGAAATTGTTGGACTACATGTTACATATCTCCACACACGCTGGAGCGAGAGCAATCATTCTAGAGTCGTTGTTTATGGAGAACTCTACACGGATGACCTGTAAAAGCTTTCATATCGCCACCTATAGACAACTTGGGGTACTGACGTTTCACAGGCGCGCTCCGTTTTATGGCTTGACATGTTGGGTATCAATTTACTCGGCGCCGCCCTCATCTTTTATATTATATTTTACCAAGAATTGAGTATCGTGTTGAGCAGGGGCGGACTGACCATTTGGAAACTCGGGCACTGCGATAGGTGGGGTTTGTGGATTGTTTAATGCCGTGTGGTTGCATCCCATTGTTCTGTTGTGTGTCTTGCTTGGGAGCAAACTATTATGGGATGTATGTGTTTGTGTATTGGCTTGGTGGGGGGTGTTCCGGCAGCCCTCCCTCCTGATGGGACTGTCTGCTGATGTGTCTCTTGTTAGTAAAGGTAGATTGCCCTGCCCTGTGTCATTATGCAGGGAGAGGGGGTTGCTCCCTTGACAGGGGCGGACAGACCATTTGGAAACTCGGACACTGCCCGAGGGCCCGGGGTCAGTAGGGGGCCCCATGAGATGCCCCTGGTACCTTTTTCATAGGCTTTTTTGAGTTTGGGCAAGGACACAGGGGCCCCATGATCCCCTCTTGCCCGGGGGCCCCATGAGTTGTCAGTCTGCCCCTGGTGTTGAGTTTATGTACCCTGAAAGTACCTTCAGTGCATATTTAACATTGAACTACCCCCATTGGGGGGTGTAACTTCATCTTCAGGCCTGAAATAATTATGTAACAAATTCCTGATACTTTCCGATTTGGGACCGATAGGGATTGTCATTCCCGGCTTGTAACGTGTCATTCTGTGTTGTCAGGTTGTCAAGTCCTGCACATCAGACTTCTTCGAGGACGACGACCGGGACATGGTTGTGGTGACCTGCCAGAACCAAGACGGCCATCGAGAAGTACGTGAGATCCGTCTGCTGCTGTGTGATAATAACTGTCTCCATTGCTGAGCGTTTGGTTTGGATCAACTCCATTCCAGGTTCATCAAAACGAAAGGGAGTGCAAAGTCCAACGGTTCAGTTTCCCAAGAAAGCAGCCACAGCCTGAGTAGAAAAGCCTGTCCCCTGTCAGCAAGCTGCACAGAAGGATCTTAGCTCTTTGTATGAAAGTAGTGGTCTCTCTGCAGAGGTCCTGGACCCAGCTGCACATTCGGTCTAAATAAACTCAATACATTCGAGGTTCATCAAAACGAAAGGGAGTGCAAAGTCCAACGGCTCAGTTTCCCAAGAAAGCAGCCACAGCATTAGTAGAAAAGCCTGTCCCGTGTCAGCAAGCTGCAGAGAAGGACCATTGCTCTTTGTATGAAAGTAGTGGTCTCTCTGCAGAGGTCCTGGACCCAGCTGAGCATTTGGTTTTAATCAACTCAATACATTCAAGGTTCATCGAAATGAAAGGGAGTGCAAAGTCCTGAGTAGAAAAGCCTGTCCCCTGTCAGCAAGCTGCAGTGAAGGACCATTGCTCTCTGTGTGAAAGCAGCGATCTCTCTGCAGAGGTCCTGGTCCCAGCTGAGCATTTGCTTTAAATCAACTCAATCCAGGTTCATCAAAACGAAAGGGAGTGAAAAGTCCAACAGTTCAGTTTCCCAAGAAAGCAGCCACAGCATTAGTAGAAAAGTCTGTGCCCTGTCAGCAAGCTGCAGAGAAGGACCATTACTCTTTTTATGAAAGCAGCGGTCCCTCTGCAGAGGCCCTGGACCCAGCTGAGCATTTGTTTTTAATCAACTCAATACATTCGAGGTTCATCAAAACGAAAGGGAGTGCAAAGTCCAACGGCTCAGTTTCCCAAGAAAGCAGCCACAGCATTAGTAGAAAAGCCTGTCCCGTCAGCAAGCTGCAGAGAAGGACCATTGCTCTTTGTATGAAAGTAGTGGTCTCTCTGCAGAGGTCCTGGACCCAGCTGAGCATTTGGTTTTAATCAACTCAATACATTCGAGGTTCATCGAAATGAAAGGGAGTGCAAAGTCCTGAGTAGAAAAGCCTGTCCCCTGTCAGCAAGCTGCAGTGAAGGACCATTGCTCTCTGTGTGAAAGCAGCGATCTCTCTGCAGAGGTCCTGGACCCAGCTGAGCATTTGCTTTAAATCAACTCAATCCAGGTTCATCAAAACGAAAGGGAGTGCAAAGTCCAACAGTTCAGTTTCCCAAGAAAGCAGCCACAGCATTAGTAGAAAAGTCTGTGCCCTGTCAGCAAGCTGCAGAGAAGGACCATTACTCTTTTTATGAAAGCAGCGGTCCCTCTGCAGAGGCCCTGGACCCAGCTGAGCATTTGTTTTTAATCAACTCAATACATTCGAGGTTCATCAAAACGAAAGGGAGTGCAAAGTCCAACGGCTCAGTTTCCCAAGAAAGCAGCCACAGCATTAGTAGAAAAGCCTGTCCTGTCAGCAAGCTGCAGTGAAGGATCATTGCTCTTTGTATGAAAGCAGCGGTCTCTCTGCAGAGGTCCTGGACCCAGCTGCACATTCGGTTTAAATGAACTCAATACATTCCAGGTTCATCAAAATGAAAGGGAGTGCAAAGTCCAACAGTTCAGTTTCCCAAGCAAGCAGCCACAGCCTGAGTAGAAAAGCCTGTCCCCTGTCAGCAAGCTGCACAGAAGGACCATTGCTCTCTGTGTGAAAGCAGCGGTCTCTCTGCAGAGGTCCAATGCGCCCCTTACAGGGTAGTGTGTGTTTTGCTAATTGCGGGGCTGAAGGTCTGACTCATCAGGGGGACCTCTTCAGAGGGTCATTGCTTCTGCACAGGGTCCCTTTCTGCAGCTTGCTGGCAGGGGACAGGCTTTTCTATGCCAGCTGGGGCTGCTTTGTAAGGGCTTGTGTTATTTTCCGGTATTAGGAACACACATCAAATGCGGGTCAGCAAACTTCCATTGACTTTGACCTTGGCACCCCCCAACACAGAGCCAATGATGCGTTTTTACTGCCCCCCCCACTGAATGTTCCCTCTTAAGCGGCAAAGACTGAGGCCAGGGGTATACAAATGCTGCTTTGCAGCTGCAGCAACAATCATACCCCCTTGTCGAGTCCAGCGGGCTCCACCCACAGTTGTGGTGCAGCTTTTAGGGGGTGACAGCAAATGGTTAGGAGGCAGCATATCGCCTCCTCACCGTCTGTAAAATCTCTCCAAATGTGGATTGCTTTTCAGAGGAGCGACACTGCTTGCCACTAGTGTAAAGGGGCCCTAAAGCCCAAATCTGGGGTCACGGTCCCAGTGCCCCTCCCCCGCCCCTTGTGGTCCTCCCCATTGGCAGCATACAATGCCCTTAAGTGTTTTTGTTTTCAGACTCTGCAGGCCAGCGATGTGATGCCCCAGCGGGGGGGCTTTTTCTCCAGTAGTGGGTTGTAAGAGGGGCTACTGGCTAGTAATGGCGCAAGAACACAAGTCCCCGTCCCTGCTCTTCTCCTGCAAGAACACTGCCCCTCCAGCTGAGCCGAACCCTCCCCCATATTGTGCCCCACTCCATGCTGTAGGCCTCCACATTTCCGGCCGTTCCCAAGCAAGGAATGTCCACGAATACTATTGCTGCACTTTTACTGATGGCACAGTCACATCTAATCAACATACATTCCAGAGTCACTCCATGTTACATTGTCAATCACTATTAATGGACGGTCCGCAGCAGTCACATGTGAAAGCATATGCAGCACTTTAAGCAGTCATCTCCCTCAAACAGTTTCTCTTTTCCTCTCTTTAATATGCACAGGACTGTGACCCCTGTAGACACCTCCTCCATAGGAATACCTCCCCCAGGACCCTCCAAAGGGAATAGCCTCACTCAGGGAACTCTTGGCCTGGCCGAAAAGGCCTTTTGCAATCTGCCCTAGCCCCCCCCCACCCCCATAAGGGTCAGAAAGTCTACAGTCGCCTCTCCTAGGATGCAGGTCTATTCTTTCCCAGCCTACCGCCCTGTACAGGGCCTCCACGTGCTGGCTACATCTGTGCTGGTGAGGGGCGCCTATGCCCCAAGTGTACTATGGCTCCTCCCATCCTGGGCACTGACTCACCCATGACATCACTGCAGGAGGGGCCTACCTAAAAGGGGCCTAACACCTGATGACACTGCAGGAACTAGTTGCTGTTCTGGCACAGAGCATCCTAGTGGCAGACTAGCTAACTGCACCTTCCTACAGGATGGTCCTCAATGTCAAAAGCCCCCACCCCAGCACCTGTACACTGTGAATGGCGTGCACCGTAGGCAATGCTTCCCCAAGGGGTGGAGCCATGACATCACTGCTGGAGGATCCTACCTAAGAGGGGCCTAACACCTGATGACACTGCAGTAACCAGACACTGTTCTGGCACAGAGCCACCTAGTGGCAGACTAGTTAACTGCATCTTCCTACAGGGTGGTCCTCAATGTCAATAGCCCCCCGCCCCAGCACCAGTACACTGTGAATGGAGTGCACTGTGGCGATACTTTCTCAAGGGGTGGGGCCATGACATCACTGCTGGAGGAGCTTACCTAGAAGGGGCCTAACACCTGATGACACTGCAGTATCCAGACACTGTTCTGCCACAGAGCCCCCTAGTGGCAGACTAGCTAACTGCACCTTCCTACAGGGTGGTCTTCAATGATGTCAATAGCCCCCCACCCCAGCACACTCTGAATGGAGTGCACTGTGGCGATGCTTCCCCAAGGGGTGGGGCCATGACATCACTGCAGGAGGTCCCTAACTAAAAGGGGCCTAACACCGGATGACACTGCAGGAACTAGTTGCTGTTCTGGCACAGAGCATCCTAGTGGCAGACTAGCTAACTGCACCTTCCTACAGGATGGTCCTCAATGTCAAAAGCCCCCACCCCAGCACCTGTACACTGTGAATGGCGTGCACCGTAGGCAATGCTTCCCCAAGGGGTGGAGCCATGACATCACTGCTGGAGGATCCTACCTAAGAGGGGCCTAACACCTGATGACACTGCAGTAACCAGACACTGTTCTGGCACAGAGCCACCTAGTGGCAGACTAGTTAACTGCATCTTCCTACAGGGTGGTCCTCAATGTCAATAGCCCCCCGCCCCAGCACCAGTACACTGTGAATGGAGTGCACTGTGGCGATACTTTCTCAAGGGGTGGGGCCATGACATCACTGCTGGAGGAGCTTACCTAGAAGGGGCCTAACACCTGATGACACTGCAGTATCCAGACACTGTTCTGCCACAGAGCCCCCTAGTGGCAGACTAGCTAACTGCACCTTCCTACAGGGTGGTCTTCAATGATGTCAATAGCCCCCCACCCCAGCACACTCTGAATGGAGTGCACTGTGGCGATGCTTCCCCAAGGGGTGGGGCCATGACATCACTGCAGGAGGTCCCTAACTAAAAGGGGCCTAACACCGGATGAAACTGCAGGAACTAGTTGCTGTTCTGGCACAGAGCCGCCTAGTGGCAGACTAGCTAACTGCACCTTCCCACAGGGTGGTTCTCAATGTCAATAGCCCCCCGCCCCAGCACCAGTACACTGTGAATGGCGTGCACTGTGGCAATGCTTCCCCAAGGGGCGGGGCCATGACTCCCTGCACTCAGTGTTTCCTTAGTTCCTCCTCCCAGTTTGAGTGATGCTGGGCGTCATGCCACCTAGAAGACTGAGGGCATCTAGTGGTGAAGAAGAGGTACTGCAGCGGACAGCTGCGGCTCGCAGGGGACTACAACAGCCTGTCTAAGGGACTCATTTAGGAAAGTCGGTCTTTCACGTAACCTTTAAAATTCCCCCAAAAAACTTCAATTACCTCGTAACTAAACCTTCATATTTTGTTTTCTCAGCACTCAAGAGTGAGAAGATCACACGAGGCGGTCGAGGAGGTGGTGGCGGCCGAGGGGGAAGGGGTGGTAGCGGCGGACGCGGTGGAAGAGGAGGTGGAAGATCTGGATCTGGCTCTTCCATCGCGGGAGTCGGGAGCCGCGGGAGGTGGCGGCCGCCATGCCTAAAACCTTCCCAATCATTGCGAGATTTCTGTAAATAGACGACTTCATTAAAATTCTCTCTTTTCTCCAGTCTGTTCATCTAGAATTATTCAAATAAATTACCACTGGTCAAGGGCGGACTGACAACTCATGGGGCCCCCGGGCAATAGGGGAATCATGGGGCCCCTATGTCCTTGCCCACACTCAAAGCACACCCAAAAAAGCCTATAAAAAGGTACCAGGGGCGTTTTGTGGGGCCCCCTACTGACCCCGGGCCCTCGGGTAGTGACCGAGTGCTCGAATGGTCAGTCCACCCCTGCCGCTGGCAGACCTGGCAATGGGGGAAGAGGTGGGAAGGTGATAGTGGCCCTCAGGGACCCAGACTCTGAAGGGGCCACATCTGGGACTAGCTAGCATTACAATGGGGGCGGTTGGCTATAGCAGTAAAGGAAGAGAATGTTCGCTGAGCCTAATCCATAAGGTGAGGCTGCGTTCGCTTTGACTACCCAATCGTGTGCACCGAAAAACAAACAGCATGGTTACTTGCATGTGATTGGATGATTGAAGTCATCACAGCTTCACCTCGCTTTCTATCAAGTCATCGCTTTGCCAATAAAAATTTACAACAGGGACCCCCCCCCCCCCCCCCAAAAAAAAAAAAAATAAGATGGATTGATTTAAAACATTTGGGCCCATTCACACCATCAATGGATACAATGAGGATACAATGGGCACAATGAGGATACAATGAGGATACAATGGGCACAATGAGTACACTATGGATACAATGAGGATACAATGGGCACAATGAGGATACAATGAGGATACAATGGATACAATGAGGATACAATGAGGATACAATGGGCACAATGAGGATACAATGAGGATACAATGGATACAATGAGGATACAATGAGTATACAATGGGCACAATGAGTACACTATGGATACAATGAGGATACAATGAGGATACAATGGGCACAATGAGGATACAATGAGGATACAATGGGCACAATGAGGATACAATGAGGATACAATGGGCACAATGAGGATACAATGAGGATACAATGGATACAATGAGGATACAATGAGGATACAATGGGCACAATGAGGATACAATGGATACAATGAGGATACAATGAGGATACAATGGGCACAATGAGGATCCAATGAGGATCCAATGGGCACAATGAGGATACAATGGATACAATGAGGATACAATGAGGATCCAATGGGCACAATGAGGATACAATGGATACAATGAGGATACAATGGGTACAATGAGGATACAATGAGTATACAATGGGCACAATGAGTATACAATGGGTATAATGAGGATACAATGGGTATAATGAGGATACAATGAGTATACAATGGATACAATGAGTATACAATGGGCACAATGAGTATACAATGAGTATACAATGGGCACAATGAGTATACAATGGGCACAATGAGTATACAATGAGTATACAATGGATACAATGAGTATACAATGGGCACAATGAGTATACAATGAGTATACAATGGATACAATGAGTATACAATGGGCACAATGAGTAGTCCAATGAGTATACAATGGGCACAATGAGTATACAATGAGTATACAATGGGCACAATGAGTATACAATGGATACAATGAGGATACAATGGGTACAATGAGGATACAATGAGTATACAATGGGCACAATGAGTATACAATGGGTATAATGAGGATACAATGGGTATAATGAGGATACAATGAGTATACAATGGATACAATGAGTATACAATGGGCACAATGAGTATACAATGAGTATACAATGGGCACAATGAGTATACAATGGGCACAATGAGTATACAATGAGTATACAATGGATACAATGAGTATACAATGGGCACAATGAGTATACAATGAGTATACAATGGATACAATGAGTATACAATGGGCACAATGAGTAGTCCAATGAGTATACAATGGGCACAATGAGTATACAATGAGTATACAATGGATACAATGAGTATACAATGGGCACAATGAGTATACAATGGATACAATGAGAATTCCAATGAGTATACAATGGGCACAATGAGTATACAATGGATACAATGGGCACAATGAGTATACAATGATTGGATTGGGATGTCTCTTTGCTGGACCTAACTGGGCAAAGAGACATCCCCGTCCAGTAAAGAGACATCCCCATTCAGCAAAGAGACATTCCCAACCAGCAAAGTGAGCTCCTGCACAGCAAAGAGACAGCCACATCCAGCAAAGAGACAGCCCAGTCCAGCAAAGAGACAGCCCAGTCCAGCAAAGAGCCCACCCAGCAAAGAGACAGCCTGTCCAGCAAAGAGGTAGCCCATTAAGCAAAGAGATAACCCAACCAGCAAAGAGACAGCCCATCCAGCAAAGAGACAGCCCATCCAGCAAAGAGGCAGCTCATCTAGCAAAGAGACAGCTCATTTAGCAAAGAGATAGCTGTCCGGCAATGAGACAGCTCGCCCATCAAAGAGACAGCTCATCCAGCAAAGAGACAGCCCATCCAGCAAAGAGTCAGCCGTCCAGCAAAGAGACAGCTCATCCAGCAAAGAGACAGCCCATCCAGCAAAGAGACAGCTCAACCAGCAAAGAGACAGCTCAACCAGCAAAGAGACAGCCGGTCCAGCAAAAAGACAGCCCAATTCACTGCCGATACAGAGCTGTAATAGTGTGCCAGCCAGTGAAGGAGGTTCTGAAGGGCCCCCAGCACACTGGTATATAACCTTTCAAGCAGACTCTGCAATAAATAGGGATATTTAGTTCACACATATTGCAATACATGCTTAAGCTGCCAACTGCGTCAAAGTAATCCCTCTATGGCCAGTCCTACTCTGCTCTGCCTACGAAAATGCTACTGTGGAAGCAATGTTATATATTGTATCATTATATACATCCTATTATACATTGTATCATTATATACATCCTATTATACATTGTATCATTATATACATTCCATTATACATTGTATCATTATATACATTCCATTATACATTGTATCATTATATACATCCTATTATACGTTGTATCATTATATACATTATATATTATACGTTGTATCATTATATACATCCTATTATACATTGTATCATTATATACATCCTATTATACATTGTATCATTACATACATCCTATTATACATTGTATCATTGTCAGGGATGCGGGTGTGACCAGAAGTGTGTGGACTGACACAGGGAAACGTAGGCTCAGATATGGTAAATAATATAATTTATTAAAGACTAACAATACAAACATAAACGCAGCGCACCAAACCCCAAGCTAACACAAATACATACAACAAGGTGAAACAAACCAAACCTAAACTGATACAGATACACAGGTACATACACATATAGAGCACAACGTAGTCAGGCAGGCCGGGTGGATAACTATCGGGCAGGTAGGTACAGGAGGAGCAGGCGGAGAGAATGGTCAGGGTCACAAGCCAGGGATCAAACAGGAGAAGTCAGCAGAGGTCAGGATCAGGCAGGGTCGGCAACAAGTCAGGCAGGAACAGGAACAGGAATGCAGGTTACAAGATACAGGGGCCCATGGAAAAAACACACACCAAGGCACAGACTGCAGGTCTGGCCATCCCTTAAATACACCACCTGCAATCAGCCCCAGGTGATGGCTAATTGCCGAAGTGATCCTCTGGTTGTTGAGAGCACCCGCTGGCCAGCCCTGGTACTGCAGCCCACAAGGCAGGTGAGTCCCACCACTATTGGCAAGTCCATTCCTGACAGTACCCCCCCCCTCAAGGAGCGGCCCCAGGACGCTCCAAACAGTCCTAGCTGGGCAAAATGTTCCACCGCCCGCGTCCGGTGACTGGCGGGATATCAAAGACTGGCACATCGGGCTGGGCACCGGACGGAGGCACTGCGGGCTGGGCACCGGACGGAGGCACATCAGGCTGGACGGAGCAGCGGGCCCTGGGCCACCAGGCCGAGCAGCGGGCATCGGGCCACCAGGTGGAGCAGCAGGCACCGGGCCACCAGGCAGGGCAGCAGGCACCGGGCCACCAGATGGAGCAGCGGGCATCGGGCCCCCAGGCAGGGCAGCCGGCACCGGGCCACCAGGCGGAGCAGCAGGCACTGGGCCACCAGGCGGGAGCAGCAGGCACCGGGCCACCAGGCGGAGCGGCGGGCTCCGGGCAAACCAGGCAGGACAGCAGGCACTGGGCCCCCAGGCGGAGCGGCGGGCACCGGGCCACCAGGCGGAGCGGCAGGCACCGGGCCACCAGGCAGGGTGGCGGGCACCGGGCAACCAGGCGGAGGGGCGGGCACCGGGCCCCCAGGCGGAGGGGCGGGCACCGGGCCACCAGGCGGAGGGGCGGGCACCGGGCCACCAGGCGGAGGGGCGGGCACCCGGGCCACCAGGCTGAGGGGCGGGCACCGGGCCCCCAGGCACAGCGGCGGGCACCGGGCCCCCAGACAGGGAGGCAGGCACCGGGCCCCTAGATGGTGCGGCAGGCACCGGGCCATCTGGCTCGACAGCGGGCATCGGGTCACCAGGTACAACAGCGGGCACCGGGTCATCAGACATTGGATCGTCTTGCTCGACCGCGGGCACCAGGTCATCTGGCTCAACAGTGGGCATCGGGTCACCAGGCACGACAACGGGCATCGGGTCACCAGGCATCAGGTCATCTGGCTCGACAGCGGGCACCGAGTCATCTGGCAAGGCAGTGGGCACCGAGTCACCAGGCATGACAGCTGGCTCTGAGTCAACTGGCACGACAGCGGGCATCGGGTCACCAGGTATGACAGCAGGCACTGGGTCATCAGGCATTGGATCGTCTGGCTCGACAGCGGGCATCGAGTCATCAGGCACGACAGCGGGCATCGGGTCACCAGGCATGACAGCGGGCACTGGGTCATCAGACATTGGATCGTCTGGCAAGACTGCTGGCACCAAGTCATCTGGCAAGACCGCGGGCCCCCGAGTCACCAGGCACAACAGCGGGCTCTGAGTCAACCGGCCTGACAGCGGGCTCCAAGTCAACTGGCGGAACAGCGGGCATCGAGTCGTCTGGCAAGACAGCGGGCACCGAGTCGTCTGGCAAGACCGCGCGGGCACCGAGTCGTCTGGCAAGACCGCGGGCACCGAGTCATCTGGCAAGACCGCGGGCTCCGAGTCGTCTGGCAAGACCGCGGGCTCCGAGTCGTCTGGCAAGACCGCGGGCTCCGAGTCGTCTGGCAAGACCGCGGGCTCCGAGTCGTCTGGCGGGAACAGCGGGCACCGAGTCGTCTGGCAAGACTGCGGGCACCGAGTCGTCTGGCAAGACTGCGGGCACCGAGTCGTCTGGCATAATAGGATCATCAGGCTGGATTAGTTCATCAGGCTGGGTAAGGACATCAGGCTGGGTAGAGACATCAGGCTGGGTAGAGACATCAGGCTGGGTAGAGACATCAGGCTGGGTAGAGACATCAGGCTGAATTGTGGGCGCCGAGGCACCAGGCTGCACCACGGAAGGCGGGTTCTCAGATGGCAGGCTGACCGGTTTGGATACTGGCAGGATGGTATTGGTTGGAAAGAATTTTCGCTTTTCCTGGTTTTAGTTACCGGAGCACTGTAAGTAAGCGCAGGTTTGTAAACGGATGGAGCAGCTGAAGACAGAGAAGAGCTGGAGGATGGAACAGAGGAGGGAGCAGTTGCCACAGAGGACTTCTTTACAGGGTTAAAGGCAGGATAGGTGCAGCGAGTGGGAGCAGGGAACTGGTATGTGGTAGTTAGCAGAGTATACTGGGCAGTCACTGGGGGTGCTGTCGGGGATGCAGGAAGAGTGCCTTGAGTGGAGGAATGACGTTGTAAGCTGACTGAGGCTGGGTGCAACAAGTCTGTCCATGTCTGCAGTATGGGTTGAACAAAGCTGAGCTTACACAAAGCCTGTCTGACCAATGACTGCACTGCGTTTATACAATCTCTTAGTGTCTGTGGTGAACATGCAGAATAACGCTCCAGAAAGTAACCCACATCATCCTCTAATAACCACACCAGGGACTCTACCTGGTCTGCACTAAATGGCGGCACAAAGTCATCCCTGCATTCGGGGGAACCAGATGAAACCAACTCAGCACAAACCTCAATCAATGGCTGCACCTCAGAGAACTCTGTGCCCTGATCTACTAGAACATGAGCGATCCGTATACATTCTAGCAGTTCATCCCGGGGATACTCCTTCAGAGAGTTTGATAAGCATACTCCCTGTCATCAAACACTAGCAGAGATAAATACACAACCTCATCCAGATCCATCCTTCCCAGCAACAAGCCAAGATGGCTTCCCTGTGCAGCCACTTCTGGTCAGGATTGGCCTTGGTGTATTGTCAGGGATGCGGGTGTGACCAGAGGTGTGTGACTGACGCAGGGAAACGTAGGCTCAGATATAGTAAATAATATAATTTATTGAGACTAACAATACAAATATAAACGCAGCGCACCAAACCCCAAGCTAACACAAATACATACAACAAGGTGAAACAAACCCAAACCTAAACTGATATAGATACACAGGTACATACACATATAGAGCACAACGTAGTCAGGCAGGCCGGGTCGATAACTATCGGGCAGGTAGGTACAGGAGGAGCAGGTGGCGAGTAGTCAGGGTCACAAGCCAGGGATCAAACAGGAGAAGTCAGCAGAGGTCAGGATCAGACAGGGTCGGCAACAAGTTAGGCAGGAACAGGAATGCAGGTTACAAGATACAGGGGCCCATGGAAAAACACACACCAAGGCACAGACTGTAGGTCTGGCCATCCCTTAAATACACCACCTGCAATCAGCCCCAGGTGATGGCTAATTGCTGAAGTGAACCTCTGGTTGTTGAGAGCACCCGCTGGCCAGCCCTGGTACTGCAGCCCACAAGGCAGGTGAGTCCCACCACTATTGGCAAGTCCATTCCTGACAGCTCCCCTGCTGATGTTGAATGTTCGCCCCTCACACAGAAATGATCGGTCTAACAATGGAATGTTCGCCCCTCACACAGAAATGATCGGTCTAACAATGGAATGTTCGCCCCTCACACAGAAATGATCGGTCTAACAATGGAATGTTCACCCCTCACACAGAAATGATCGGTCTAACAATGGAATGTTCGCCCCTCACACAGAAATGATCGGTCTAACAATGGAATGTTCGGTGTAACACTGAGAGACAGAATACAACAACAAATTCAGCAGAAATGCGTCTAACAAATGATGACGGATCTGCATGTTCATGAGGGAAAGAAGGATTTGATCCCCTTCACAAAACATGACTTAGTACTTGGTGGCAAATCCCTTGTCACAGAGGTCAGATGTTTCCTGGAGTTGGCCCCCAGGTTCGCACACATCTCAGGAGGGATTTTGGCCCACTCCTCTTGGCAGATCCTCTCCAAGTCATTAAGGTTTGGTGGCTGACGTTTGGCAACTCGAACTTTCAGCTCCCTCCACAGATTTTCCATCGGATGAAGGTCTGGAGACTGGCTAGGCCACTCCAGGACCTTAATGTGCTTCTTCTTGAGCCGCTCCTTTGTTGCCTTGGCCGTGTGTTTTGGGTCATTGTCATGCTGGAACACCCATCCACCACCCATTTTCAATGCCCCGGCTGAGGGAAGAAGGTTCTCACCCAAGATTTGAGGGTACATTGCCCTGTCCATCGTCCCATTGATGCGGTGCAGTTGTCCTGTCCCCTTAGCAGAAACCCCCCCCAAAGCAGAATGTTTCCACCACCATGTTTCACAGTTGGGATGATGTTCTTGGGGTCATAGGCAGCATTTCTCCTCCTCCAAACACGGCGAGTTGAGTTGATGCCAAAGAGCTGGATTTTGGTCTCCTCTGACCACAACACTTCCCACCAGTCCTCCTCTGCATCATTCAGATGTTCAGTGGCAGACTTCAGACGGGCCTGGACATGGGCTTTCTTGAGAGCAGAGGGACCTTGCGGGCACTGCAGGATTTCAGTCCTTGTCGGCGTAGTGTGTTACCAATTGTTTTCTTGGTGACTGTGGTCCCAGCTGCCTGGAGATCATTGACAAGATCCTCACGTGTAGTTCTGGGATGATTCCTCACTGTTCTCATGATCATTGACACCCCACGAGGTGAGATCTTGCATGGTGCACCAGACCTAGGGAGACTGACACTTGTTTTTGTGTTTCTTCCATTTGTGAATGATTGCACCAACTGTTGTCACCTTCTCACCAAGCTGCTTGGCCATAGTTTGGTAGCCCAGTCCAGCCTTGTGTAGGTCTACCATCTTGTCCCTGACATCCTTGGACAGCTCTTTGGTCTTTGCCATGGTGGAGAGTTTGGAATCTGATGGTTTGATGGCTCCTGTGGACAGGTGTCTATTATACAGGTAACACAATGAGATTAGCAGCACTCCCTTTAAGAGAGACTGCTTCTAATCTCAGCTTGTTACCTGTATGAAAGACACCTGGGAGCCAGAAATCCTGCTGAATGATAGGGGATCAAATCCTTCTTTCCCTCATGAACATGCAGATCCGTCATCATTTGTTAGACGCATTTCTGCTGAATTTGTTGTTGTATTCTGTCTCTCAGTGTTACAGCGAACATTCCATTGTTAGACCGATCATTTCTGTGTGAGGGGTGAACATTCCATTGTTAGACCGATCGTTTCTGTGTGAGGGGGCGAACATTCCATTGTTAGACCGATCGTTTCTGTGTGAGGGGCGAACATTCCATTGTTAGACCGATCGTTTCTGTGTGAGGGGCGAACATTCCATTGTTAGACCGATCGTTTCTGTGTGAGGGGCGAACATTCCATTGTTAGACCGATCATTTCTGTGTGAGGGGGCGAACATTCCATTGTTAGACCGATCATTTCTGTGTGAGGGGGCGAACATTCACCATCAGAGGGGAGCAAATACGCATTTCCTTCACTGTAAAATAAAATGTGATAAAATGTAATAATATGTATGTAAGAATAGTATCCTGTGGCTGATAATGTGAGATTCGGTCTGGCGAGGGGTTAACGATCGTTTGCCGGAATCGGGGAGATTGTGTAAGGAACTTCCTCTGCCGCAATCTCGGGCCGGCTGATGATGTGGAAATCTGGACCAGGATTTCATTTTATAATAGAAAGTTGTCTCATCTTCCAGAAAGGCAGGGAGACGGGGGAGGGGGGAGACGGGGGGGGTGACACATTATAAAGGGGAGATCACAGTGAAGGGACCATCACGTCCTTTGAGGGAAGATGAAGATCTGGCAGTGTGTGCTATGGCTCTCTGCAGTCACATTGGAGCTGGCTCACTCCCAGTCTCCGGATCGGGATGGATGGATCGGAGCGGCCCTGGATCTCTACAACCAGAGGGAAGGTGGAGAGTTCCTCTTTAGACTCCTGTCTGAGCTCCCCGCCCCCGTCATGGAGGTACAGTATGGAGGGTTCGTTCAGGACCACGACATGGCGGTATAGAGCAGATAAAGCAGAAATCGGCCCATTGTGTTGCCGAGTAATCGGCAGTAGAAAAGTGGGAGACAGGGGGGGCGGGGCTCTGGACAGAACGCAGAGAATTCCTGCATTTGGTGTCACATAAGAATGATATTGATGAAGCTTTGTGTGTACGATCGACTTATAGCCGAACTCTGGGGGGGGGTGACATGATACAATCATACATACGATCGTGCACTTTTGTGACTTCGAGTTTCTCCCTCTTATGCCGGCCATAGACGGGTCGAACGTCGGCCGATTTTTTGAAAAAGAAAAATCGGTCGTTCGTTCGTCCAAAGTTACCACCAATGGAAAAAAAAGAAATCGCCCAACAAAATCATAAAGTTCACCCCATAACTTCTGTCCCTTGCAGGTCAAGGGAAATTCGACCGATTTTTTTTGCCTGAAAATCGGACCTAAGAATAACCGGTCGAATTTCCCTCTATTAGTGGGTCACCGGTCGATTTTTGTGGCTCCTCCCCTTTTCGGTGATCAAGTGTGTTGGAAAATTTGGGAAAAACTATCGATTTACGACTCAATGACGGTCGAATTGTACAATCGTTTTTCCGAAAAAGAATATGCGCAATAAGGCCGGCCATATATGGGTCAAAATTCAACCGATTTTTTGTCTGAAAGTTGGACCTAAGAATAATCGGGCAATTTTCGCTCTGTTAGTGGGGTCACCGGCCGATTGTCGTGGCTCCTCCCCTTTTCCTGTGATCGGGTGTGTTGGAAAATGTGTGAAAAAAACCGATTTTCAACTCAATGACGGTCAAATCGCACGATCGTTTTTCCGAAAAGAATATGTGCCGAGAGCTGGAAGGAACAGAAGTCTCGCTTGTTATATGGGGGGAAGTTTAGGACTCGGTCGGAAACGATTTTCAAAATCATTGATGGCGCCGGATTACCGAGCGAACGGCGTTTCCGATTTTTGGACGAAAAATCGTTCAAAATTCGACCCATATACGGCCGGCATTAGGCAGACATGTGGATATAACTCTTCCATGCAGCAGTAGGGCAGGTGGGGCCCCTCAGAACCGTCACCGAGCTGTCGCAGCCAATCACAGCACCGCATCATTGGGAGCTCCACCTACCAGCCCTCACGGCGCATTGAACGTTCCGGCTCCTGTGGGTGTGTAGGGGTTCCATGGACTTTGAGGACCAGTTCACACTCCATGCGGTTCAGTCACTTTTTTTCCTGCATCGAGCTTACAATCTAGGAGGGAGGGGACCAGGGGCGGACTGACCGTTTGGAAACTCGGGCACTGCCCGAGGGCCCGGGGTCAGTAGGGGGCCCCATGAGATGCCCCTGGTACCTTTTTCATAGGCTTTTTTGAGTTTAGGCAAGGACACAGGGGCCCCATGATCCCCTATTGCCCGGGGGCCCCATGAGTTGTCAGTCCGTTCCTGGAGAGGGTAGAGGTACAGGAGGAAGTGGCTGTGGGGGATGGAATAGAGTGAGGAGTGGAGGAGATTGGCTGTTAGGTGAGGGTGGGGTAGGCTTCCCTGAAGAGGTGGATTTTCAGGGTGCGCCTAAAGGTGAGGAGGGTAGGTGACAGTCTGATGGATTGGGGTAGGGAATTCCAGAGGATGGGGGAAGTCCTGGAGAAGTCCTGGAGTCGGGCATGGGAGGAGACCAGAGAGCTAGAGAGTAGGAGGTCCTGTGAGGAGCGGAGGGCACGGGTAGGGTAGTATTTGGGTATCAGGTTGGTGAGGTAGTTTGGGGCGGCGTTGTGAATGGCTCTGTAGGTCAGAGTTAGTAATTTGAATTTGATGCGTTGGGCAATCGGGAGCCAGTGGAGGGATTGGCAGAGAGGGGTGGAGGACACTGAGTGGAGGCCAGTGGAGGGATTGGCAGAGAGGGGTGGAGGACACTGAGTGGAGGCCAGTGGAGGGATTGGCAGAGAGGGGTGGAGGACACTGAGTGGAGGTCAGTGGAGGGATTGGCAGAGGGGGGAGATAGCTGTGGGGGATGGAGTGGTAGGAAGAGTGGAGGAGGTCGGCAAGTTAGCAGGGGGCGGGGTAGGCTTCCCTGAAGAGATGGGTTTTCAGGGTGCGCCTAAAGGAGAGGAGAGTAGGTGATAATCTGATGGATTGGGGCAGGGAGTTCCAGAGGATGGGGGACACCTTGGAGAAGTCCTGGAGGCGGGCATGGGAGGAGGAGACCAAGGAACTAGAGAGAAGGAGGTCTTGTGAGGAGCGGAGAGTGCGTGTTGGGCGGTACTTGGATATTAGGTCAGTGATGTAGTTCGGGGCAGTATGGTGGACGGCTTTGTACGTCAGTGTTAGGATTTTGAATTTGATCCGTTGGGCAATCGGAGGCCAGTGGAGGGATTGGCAGAGGGGGGTGGAGGACACTGAATGGAGGCCAGTGGAGGGATTGGCAGAGAGGGGTGGAGGACACTGAGTGGAGGCCAGTGGAGGGATTGGCAGAGGGGGGTGGAGGACACTGAATGGAGGCCAGTGGAGGGATTGGCAGAGGGGGTGGAGGACACTGAGTGGAGGTCAGTGGAGGGAATGACAGAGGGGGGTGGAGGCCAGTGGAGGGATTGGCAGAGGGGGATGGAAGCCAGTGGAGGGATTGGCAGAGAGGGGTGGAGGACACTGAGTGGAGGCCAGTGGAGGGATTGGCAGAGGGGGGTGGAGGACACTGAGTGGAGGCCAGTGGAGGGATTGGCAGAGGGGGGGTGGCGGATACGGAGCGTTTGGAAAGGTGAATGAGTCTGGCTGCCGTATTCAGGATGGACTGAAGCGGGGATAGCCAGCGGCGAGGCAGGCCAGTGAGGAGGGAGTTGCAGTAGTCGAGTCGTGATATGATGAGGGAGTAGATGAGCTGTTTAGTGGTTTCTGGGGTTAGGAACACGCGGATTTTGGCGATGTTGCGGAGGTGGAGTCTGCATGTTGCGGAGGTGGAGTCTGCATGTTGCGGAGGTGGAGTCTGCATGTTGCGGAGGGGGAGTCTGCATGAGTTTGTTAGTGATTGGACTTGGGGCTGGAAGGATAGGTTGGAGTCCAGAATGACACCAAGTACTCTGGCCTGCGGGGCGGGTTTGATGGTGGCGTTGTTGGACATGATGGAGAAGTCAATGGGGGGGTGGTGTCCGGGCTGGGGGGGAAGAAAAGAAACTCTGTTTTGGAGAGGTTCAGTTTAAGGAAGTGGAGCGACATCCAGTCTGATATGTCGCTCAGTAGGTGTGTGATTCGGGCTGAGACTGAGGGGGTGAGGTGGGGGGTTGAGAGATAGATTTGTGTGTCGTCGGCATAGAGGTGGTAGTTGAAGCCGTGAGAGTGTATGAGTTGGCCAAGGGAGGAGGTGTAGATGGAGAAGAGAAGGGGCCCGAGGACAGAGCCTTGGGGGACCCCAACAGAGAGGGGGAGTGAGGGGGAGGTGGTAGCATTATAGGTAACGCTGAAGGAGCGTTGGGATAGATAGGATGAAAGCCAGGAAAGGGCGGAGTCTCTGATGCCAAGGGAGTTTAGTAAGGAGGAGGGGGTGGTGGACTGTGTCGAAGGCCGCAGAGAGGTCGAGGAGTAGGAGCACCGAGTGCAAAAGAGGAGGTTAAGTGGAGGAGATGGGATGTAGCTGGGTTGTTGATGTTGACAGGGATGTTGAAGTCTCCAAGGATGATGGTGGGTAGCTCAGAGGAGAGGAAGAAGGGTAACCAGGCGGAGAAGTCGTCAAGGAAGAGGGACACGGGACCGGGAGGCCGATAGATTACAGCAATCCTCAGGGGGGTTGGGGAGAATATTCAGATGCAGTGGGCCTCCAAGGAGGAGAAGGATAGAGTGGGGGGGGGGGGTTTGGGAGGACTTGGAAGGTGCTCAGTGGCGACAGGAGCAGACCAACTCCACCACCTTTTCGACCGTTGGGTCTGGGTGAATGGGACCAGACGAGACCTCCATAGGAGAGTGCTGCAGGGGAGGTGGAGTCAGTGGCTTGGATCCAGGTTTCGGTGATCGCTAGGAGGTTGAGGGAGCAGGAAACAAAGAGGTCGTGGATGGCGGTGAGTTTGTTGAAAACCGATCGCGATAAAGCGTTCAGGAGTGCACACGAAAATGGGAGGGGGGTGGTTTTAGGGAGCAGAAGGAAAGGTATTAGATTGAGGGGGTTGCGGCAGGTCGTGGAAGTGGGAGGGTGCCTTGTGGGTGAGCGAGGTGGTGGAGGGCCAGGGTTCGGGGAGATGTCCCCCGCGGGTAGGAGAAGGAGGGTGAGAAAGGTGGCATGGGAGCGGGATGAGCAGGAACGTGTAAGTCTACCAGTGGAGGTGTTGGGGTCGGTGGGAGAGTGGAGTATTAGGAGGAGGTGGTGGGTGCCGTAGAGTGGAGAAGGAAGCAGTGAGGGCGCAATATACAGTTGTTTGGGAGGAGCAGAGGAATAGAGAGAAGAGATTTTGGGAATGGAGGAGAGGAGTATGAGGAGGAGGAGCGGGGAGGCATTTTAGGGAGGTACACAGAGTGGTGGACAGGTGTGGTGGGAGGCTTGGTTGCAGATAGTCTAGCGTGCAGTGGCGCATCTCGTCGCTGTGTCTTCCGGTAGCTAGAGTTCTCGTGCCTAGGCTCAGGATGGGTTGAGTTCGGTTCGATAGGTTGAGTTCGGTTCGATAGGTTGTGGCTGAGGGTAGTCAAGCTGCAGGTTCCAGTTTGGGTAAGTCCTAGTTTGAGGGATGAGGTTTGGTTTGAAGAGAAGATGGGTGGACGTCAGCAGCGGAGGTGTTTTCCAGGTGGTGGAGATGAGGTGTAGAGAAGCTTGAGGGGTGGGCATCAGCTGTGGGTGATGGGTGTAGTAGGGCTGGGGGATCGCAGAATCAGCAGTCGGGCCTTCTCCTGCACTGTACTCCTGGGGTCATCAGATGGGCTTCAGGTCTGGGCAGGGTTGCATTGTGGGAGGGGATGGTGGACCTCATCAGGCCGAGATCATCTGCTGGGCTCAGTAGTGTGGAAAACACTCACTTCAGGTCACTCTTACGGGTGTGGATGGGGATGTGCGGGTGAAGCTCCTTTAGGCCCGAAGCAGGTTCCCTTTGGGTTGTCGGGGGGGGGGGGGGGGGTCGTGGTAGGCCGCAGCAGGCCCTGCCAGGCCAGGTGCTTTGATATTGAGGTAGGCCCCGGCCTAGGTGGTGAGGGTCCCTTGTTGCTTCATGGTAGAGTTGGGGGGACCACCGGTGCCCTCTCCCTGCCCTCAAACTACCCGGGTGGTAGGGTTGTGAGGTGGCGGCAGAGCGGTGCCGTTGGCCTGCTGGTTTGTGTGGCTTTGGGCCCAGCTGTGGTGGCGTGTTGCCTGGATGCGGGCCCGCAGCGGGCGGTGGGAGGCAGCAGAGTTGGGGGCTGGGGAGGCTAATGCGGTTGCCCGTTTTCATGTGTCCTTAGTGGCTAGTGGTTGGTAGGTGCCCCTGTTGTCTTGTGTCCCTGGTGGCTAGTGGTTGGTAGGTGCCCCTGTTGTCTTGTGTCCCTGGTAGCTAGTGGTTGGTAGGTGCCCCTGTTGTCTTGTGTCCCTGGTGGCTAGTGGTTGGTAGGTGCCCTTGTTGTCTTGTGTCCCTGGTGGCTAGTGGTTGGTAGGTGCCCTTGTTGTCTTGTGTCCCTGGTGGCTAGTGGTTGGTAGGTGCCCTTGTTGTCTTGTGTCCCTGGTGGCTAGTGGTTGGTAGCAAGTGTCAGTGGCTGGGCCCTGCGGGACGGGCGCCGCTGCAGTGGAGGCAGGGCTGGAGCGGTGGGGAGGCTCGGGCGGACGCTCCTCCTTGGTGCCGGACAAACCTTGGGCAGTGGCGGGCCTCGGCTCGCAGTGCGTTGGTGGCTGGAGGTGGGGGCGCCGGGGTGATGAGGGACCAGCGCCGTGTTGCAGGGCTACGTGGGGGACCAGGCAGGAGGGCAGGATCGTCCGCTGCCACGAGGACAGGTCTCCCCTCCAGGTAAGGGGGTAGGGGAGATCCCTGGCAGCTGTGCTGCCGGGGATGGCAGGCAGGAGCGCGTTGCAGGGCCACGTGGGGGACCAGGCAGGAGCGCGTTGCAGGGCCACGTGGGGGACCAGGCAGGAGCGCGTTGCAGGGCCACGTGGGGGACCAGGCAGGAGCGCGTTGCAGGGCCACGTTGGGGGACCAGGCAGGAGCACATTGCAGGGCCACGTGGGGGACCAGGCAGGAGAGCGTTGCAGGACCACGTGGGGGACCAGGCAGGAGCGCGTTGCAGGGCCACGTGGGGGACCAGGCAGCAGCGCGTTGCAGGGCCACGTGGGGGACCAGGCAGGAGAGCGTTGCAGGACCACGTGGGGGACCAGGCAGGAGCGCGTTGCAGGACCACGTGGGGGACCAGGCAGGAGCGCGTTGCAGGGCCACGTGGGGGACCAGGCAGGAGCGCGTTGCAGGGCCACGTGGAGGACCAGGCAGGAGCGCATTGCAGGGCCACGTGGGGGACTAGGCAGGAGCGCGTTGCAGGGCCACGTGGAGGACCAGGCAGGAGCGCGTTGCAGGGCCACGTTGGGGACCAGGCAGGAGCGCGTTGCAGGACCACGTGGGGGACCAGGCAGGAACGCGTTGCAGGGCCACATGGGGGACCAGGCAGGAGCGCGTTGCAGGACCACGTGGGGGACCAGACAGGAGCGCGTTGCAGGGCCACGTGGGGGACCAGGCAGGAGCACGTTGCAGGATCACGTGGGGGACCAGGCAGGAGCGCGTTGCAGGGCCATGTGGGGGACCAGGCAGGAGCGCGTTGTAGGGCCACGTGGGGGACCAGGCAGGAGGGCAGGATCGTCCGCTGCCACGAGGACAGGTCTCCCCTCCAGGTAAGGGAATAGGGGAGATCCCTGGCGGCTGAGCTCCTGTGGATGGCAAGCGGGAGCGCGGAGGCGACCAGAGCTGAGAGTTATGCAGCTGCTCCAGTCGCCATATTGGATTCTCAGTGCTTGCAGTTCTGGATACAGAAAAAAAAAAGAACAGGCGGCATTTTTCCTGCACAGAAGTGCCCTGGAGCGCAGAAATGCGCATCACATACGCACCGGAATGCATAAAAAACGCACTGGAAACACACATGTCCCTATTTAGTTCACATCAGCGCTCACAGTTCCGGTTGCAGAAAAAAAAAAAAGTAGATACGGCGGCATTTTTCCTGCACAGAACTGCACTGGAACGCGGTAAAACGCATACAAATGCACTGAAGTACACATGTTCCTATTTAGGGCCCGTTCACACTCCATGCGTTTCAGTTGCTTTTTTTCTGCATCCAAAACGCACAGAAAGTCGGTGATCTGGATGTCGGTGTCATAGATCACATCAGTGCCGGCAGTTTCCGGTGCGTTCCGGTTGCAGGAAAAAAAAAAATAGAACGGGCGGCATTTGTCCTGCACAGAACTGTACTGGAGCGCGATAAAATGCATAAAAAACGCACAAGTCCCGATTTAGTTCACATCAGCACTTGCAGTTCCAGTGCGTTCCGGGTGCAGAAAAAAAAAAAAAAACAACAAGCGGCATTTTTCCTGCACAGAAGTGCGCTGGAACGCGGTAAAAACGCACCAGAACACGCATGTCCCCAGGTTCACAGTGATGTGGTGTGGAATTTGCTTCGGTTTTCTATGTGATTTCTGCACCTCATCATAATCACACCCCCCTGCATACGAACCGCTGCGGGTGTGCATTGTAAGTTAGCGACACCCCGAAATCGCTGCGATGTGCAGAATCGGTGAACACTCATGCAATCCGACTAATAAAGGTTCCTGCACTTTTTCTGTGCGGATTCGGTGCGAGGCATACAAAATGTACGTCTGACGCTGCACCGCACACAAATCGCATGTGATCGGCAGAGGAATGTGGTGCGGTTCCTGTATGAATCACATGCGATA